TGAATAACACTCTCTCTCTCCGTCTCTCCAGATATATTAACTCCTATAATGTATTTGTTGCAAGGAAACTTGTACATGTCGTCCAGTGTTGGTCTCCAGATTACATAAAAGACGAGAGTTTCACTGGAGAAGCTTCCAGAGAAGAGCCACCAACCTCGTACCATCACTCAGAAATAAACTTTAGTGAAGAAAGACTACCCACTCATATTTTTCTCTCTTAGGGAACGCAGACTACCAAAATGTCTCATTCTACTCTTTACGATATTCCTTGACTTTCACACATTTAGACATTCACAACTATTTGAGGACGAACTTGCGAGACAGAAGATGCAACAGGGACGATTGTGTTTTGTTTTATTTTTATGTAAACAGAATTATAGCAAAGGAAGTAACTTACTAGCTATGCTGAAGGTTAAAGACTGGCTGGACAAGGTGCTTCTTGGATGGGGCAATTTCAAGGCAACGAATTCCTGATAACTGTTTACCAACTTCAACAGGACGATCAGTCGAGAACGAGGCAACAGAGTTAATAATCGAGGAACTGGTGGTAACCAGAAGAAACATTGATATATACAGTTCTGTTAGTGGTAGTGGAGTAACGCGCATAGTTAAGTAGTTACGAAGGAACGAGTACGAATGAAGTCGAGGTAGTTGTCGCCCTCGATGGACTTGACTGCTTACGATTTCCACCGTCTTGAGAAGATAATTTCTGTGCTGATCTGAGGAAGCCACTGAATGGCGAAATATCTTTACGAGGATACCCAGGTATTGTTTATCAGAGGTATACAATATCGACAAGATAAAGAATAAGACATTTGTGTAACATAGGAGTATCTGCAGTAGATGTTGATACGTCTACAAGTAACCCAGATGCTGCATTAATCTTATTTTCCATACACAGCTACTGAACATATGTCGTATTCATTAAGATATTTCTCAAAATAGGAACCTCATTCAAAACTCTCATCTACGTACACCAAGACACCCAATCTATCATCTATCTGGAGTCTACCTGGAGGATATTCCGGGGATCAACGACTCCGCGGCCCCGTCCATGACCAAACTTCCCGGTGGATCAGGGCCTGATCAATTAGGCTGTTACTTCTGGTCGCACGTAGTCACACATGTTTCTTTTAACAATATTATGTCCTTCAGATGCATCAACCTTTCTAATTGTTCTTGTTCACTGAACAACAACAACTGGAAGAACAATTTTAAAAATCTCATGACAATCGCAGTGACTTTTTTCCAGTTGAAACGCGAAACACTTTACAACAGATGAGTAAGACACGTGTGCAACCCTCGGGTATCTTTAATGTTGATAAATTTCACTTTGCAAGATTCTTCAGTTAATAGAAACAGTGGAAAGGAAAAGACGCGGTGATCAGTCCCTCATCCCTGGCAAATACTTGATTCAATATTCTAGATTAAAGTAAAGCCGAGGCACAAGAACTGGGCCTTGTATACTGCTGCCAGAAGTGAGATGATGAATTTGAAGATGACTTCGTAGAAGACGAGGCTCACTACCAGAAGTAAGAGGAGCAGTGCACTAGGCTGGTTCCTCTTAAATCCAACCTTCTTACTAGTAACTAGTGGCTGAACAAGATGTCTGTACCAGTATATAGCGGTGGTGTTACAGTGTCACACAAGTATATTTAATGGTACACCATTACTACTGTATGGAGTTACTATCATAGTTTTGAATCCCAGCCGTTGTGCCAGAAATTTTAAGCAATGTATAATGTATAAAAAACAAATTAGACTTTTTCTTAAATGTTTTGTGGTAGTAGGTATAAGTGATAGTAATAGTATTAGTAGTAACTGGTAGTTTTGTGGTAGTAGTTATAAGTGGTAGTACAGTAGTAATTGGTAGTTTTGTGGTAATAGTTACAAGTGGTAGTACAGTAATAATTGGTAGTTTTGTGGTAGTAGTTATAAGTGGTAGTAACAGTAGTAGTAGTAACTATAACGAGATTATTTAGTGTTTCTGGTAGTGGGGAGTAAATGATACGTCTTTGGAGGCTTCTTACTTTATTGTTAATTGTGGTGGGTACACAGGCTTGTGTGTTGTGCCCATGGCCCGGGAGGGCCATGCCCACGAGAGAGAGTAGGCCTTCTTGACTGAGTGAAGGGTGTCGCCAGAGTCAGAGTGAGGTAAGGGCAGGCAGGCTGGCGTGCCCACCGAGAGGCCTGGCTACAGAGGGCAGCATCTTAGTGTGCGAAATATGAACTGAGCTGGCAGACAGCATAGGCTGTCTACATACGCTCGGCCACCTACCACGCGTCGTCCCGACGCGACAATACTGGTGGTAAAAAAACTCGGTCTCTCTCTCGTAGGAACAGGGCACAGAACACAAAATAAAAACATATATATATACATATGGACATGGAAAAAAACTTCCTACAGGGAGGGAAGAAAAAAACATGTGGGGTGTGCTAAACATTGTGGTCATAGGCAGTGAGCGTCGAAGGGCATCACTGCACGCCTTCCTGTGTCTGGACAGATACTGCAACACAGGAGACATGTCTGCGGCTGAGCTGTGACATAACAGGGTATGGTCTCCTCTGGAACGGTGAAGCAGTCATCGTAGGAGTCGCTGCAGGTTTTCACTCAACCTGGGGCACGACATGCTGGTGCCCTCGAGTGAGGCGTCGACAAAACTCGGCAACTGGGCTGGACTTCTGGCAAGCGACTCAGGAGGACACTTCTCGACTGGTACTGTCACTGGGCTGTCACTGCCGGCGAGCGTGGAGCTAGTTGTGGAGCGAGGTAAACTACAGGTAAACTCCAGGTAAACACCAGACTGCAGTGAGAGAGCTAGCAGTCAAAGTGACATCTTCTTTGTGCAGGCTGCTCGCTGAAGCTTGTGACATGAGGCTGACACAGCGCCTGCCAACAGTGCTAACTGCGGCTTGACGAGTGTCATTCTCTCGGCAGTTGGAGTTACAGCAGAGGTTAGTCTAAGCATCCCCAGACTTGTTTATCTACATATAGCTGCATTCTGAAGGTCTGGAGGTGAAGTGAAACAAATCTCGATGGGAATCGTAGTAGGTACGATTCTGCAGAACATCTATGAGCGACGAGCATAAGAGCTTTCTGTACAAGTGGGCTCATATGCTCAGGGGCTGACTGATAACAGTTGTCAAACACACTGGTCACACGGATGACTTAACACAGTGGTGCTACTCAGGTCTGGCTCAGACCTCACTGGACACACGGAAACTACACACACCCGCTGTACATGCGGTACACTAACATGTGAGAACACTGACTGAGAGGAATTAATTAACACACGACATATACCTTCTCTCAATCTTCTCGACAATACTAAAATAATTACTAGAAACACTCGATGTGACATGTGATGTCAGGCGTGATGTCGCGAGGTGATGTCAGCAACACTGTGGCATCAGCAGACATCTCGAGGTGATGTCAGGCAGACATCGTGACGTCATGAAGTCGGGCAGCATCGTCGGTGACGTCAATGTGATGCGGGCAGCAGACCACAGCATGAGGCCTGGGACATCTGGCTCAGTAACTCACGTGGCTCGTAGGTCCATGTGACATCGCCCACACCCAACGTGGCGACGGGATCCATGTGGTGTCATGATCTACTTGGCATGCTGCTCCGCGTAGCTTCGAGTGGCCTCTGGCACTTGGATACACAGCTCTGGCAATGAATTCACATGGAAAACAGCAGAAAACACAGCAGAGGGAGTGGGCAGTGGTGAGTGTATGGTAGACGGGTGAGCGTGAGTAGGGCGAGCATGGGCAAGGTGAGGAACGGCCACTTCCTCCTCTCCCACAAACACGTGGAGAAACTCACACTGGATGCAGAAATCACCACAAAACTCACCTCTGACTTGCTGAAACAGCTGTGCTGAGCTGAAAACAGCAGCAACATACCAGTGACGCTGAACACGTGACTTGAGAAACAGCGTGGGACACTGTAGTGTGGGGTCGCTGGGACGCCACTTACAATTCTCGAAGAAATTCGGCAAATTTCGGCTGGATCCTGCTTGTACCTGTGTCTGGATGCTCAAACGTGCAGACACGACTTCAGGATAACTCGTTGAGAGACAGATGATTCTTGCATGGGATGATGAAGTGAAGATGACTTCATTCCTTCCTTCCTCTCTCCGGGCAAACACAACTGCTGCGACCACCTCTTCCCACCATTTATAACCAGTTTGTTTGGTTGTTCTGGTAGCGGGGAGTAAATGATATGTCTTCGGAGGCTTCTTTATTGTTAAGTCATGGTGGGTACACAGGCTTGTGTGTTGTGCCCATGGCCCGGGAGGGCCATGCCCACGAGAGAGAGTAGGCCTTCTTGACTGAGCGAAGGGTGTCGCCAGAGTCAGAGTGAGGCAAGGGCAGGCAGGCTGGCGAGCCCACCGAGAGGCCTGGCTACAGAGGGCAACATCTTAGTGCGCGAAATATGAACTGAGCTGGCAGACAGCATAGGCTGTCTATGCAGGCAGTACAGGCTGTCTACATAACTGGTAATGTTAATATCACCTGTAATCTTCATTTTCTAATCAATTTTCATCAAAGATTTTCCACAGATCATGATCCTTGAGCCATGTTTACCAGGTATTAGTGTGAGCCTAGGTCAACCATGGTGGAGAGAGAGAGAGAGAGAGAGAGAGAGAGAGAGAGAGAGAGAGAGAGAGAGAGAGAGACGAGAAGAGAGAATAGGGAAGAGAGAATAAGGAATGTGGGTAATGTTAAAATTGTATTTGTCCAGACAGCTTAGAAATTTTCTCCTGATGTTAGTGTCATAAACATCAACGTCATGATCCTAGCTCCTCACTACTTCAGTGATCAAAGAAAGCTATCCCTGTCTCTCTAAAGCCCAGCCTTCTTTAAATACACACAGCAGGAGAATGTCTCTTCTGCTCGGCTTCAAACTTTTAGCAGCAATGTGGCACATTGCTGCTAAAAGTTGTCTGCATCCTAGGGTTACCAGATAACAGCTGATATCTGTTTACATCCTCAGGTGACGAGGAGACGGCTGCCATGCAGCACCTCAGCGGGTCGTTGAGCCTGGCTCCGGCAGGGGGCGCCAGCGGCTTGTTACTGGTGGCAGCGGTGACATCCTGGAGGTGGCACAAGATGGCATCGTGAAGTTGAAAACTTCCACCAACCTTCCATCATGTTGTGATGGACTTACATACTCTCATTTTTAGATGGGGAGGGGGACAGGGAGGGAGGGACCAGGGACAGAGCCTAGCTAGAAATTTGGATGAGAATATGTATTTTGGTAACTTGGTCTGTTTTAGATAGTAAATTGACAACAGTGTGTTATACATAGCATAAATGTAGCAGTTATAATGAGGTGTAAATGTGTGTCGTCTAGTTGTAACTTAAATGTAACCAGCAACAACAACGTTGACAACAGCGTCAACAGCAATGACAATACCATCACAAATCACAACACTATCTACAACATCATCATAATCAATAACATCGCAAACGATGTTACCAGAAACAACAATGACAGCAACAACAGAATCACGAACAATAGCCTCACAAGTATCATCCTCACGACATGCAGAACATCCCAGACAACACTGCCACAGGTAACACCAACATCACAGACAACACTGCCACAGGTAACACCAACATCACAGACAACACTGCCACAGGTAACACCAACATCACAGACAACACTGCCACAGGTAACACCAACATCACAGACAACACTGCCACAGGTAACACCAAATCAAGGCAACACTGCCACAGGAACACCAACACACAGAAACACTGCCCCGGTAACACCCAAAACCAGACAACACTCCAAAGGTAACACAAACATCCCGACAACACGCCACAGGTAACACCAACATCACAGACAAAACTGCCACAGGGAACACCTTTAAAACACGACAAACCTGCCCCCGGTAACACCAAAATCACAGACAACATGCCACAGGGACACCAACAAAACGACACACTGCCACAGGCAACACCAACACACAGACAACACTGCCCACAGGGAACACCAACACACGACACACTGCCACAGGGGAACACCAACATCACAGCAACACTGCCAAGGGAACACCCAAAATCACAGAAACCTGCCACGGTAAACCAAATCACGACAACACTGCCAAAGCAACACCAACATCACAGACAACACTGCCACAGGTACACCAACTCACAACAACACTGCCCAACCAAACCCAACATCACAGACAACACTGCCACAGGGGAACACCAACAACACAAAACACGCCACAGGTAAAACCAAAATCCGACAAAACTGCCACAGGTAACACTAAAATACAGACAACACGCCACAGGGAACACCAACTCCAGAAACACGCCCAGGTAACACCAAACTCAGACAACAGCCACAGTAACACTAACATCCCCGACAACACGCCACAGGTAACACCAAAATCACAGACAAAAACCCGCCCAGGTAACACTAACACACAGACAACACTGCCACAGGGAACACCAACATCACAGACAACATGCCACAGGTAACACCCAACAACACAGACAAAAACTCACAGGGAACATAAACAAGACAAAACCCCGCCAGGGAACCCAACAACAAGAACAACACTGCCACGGAACACCCAAAAACACAGACAACACTCCCAGGTAACACCAACCACAGACAACACTGCCACAGGGAACACTAACATCACAGACAACCTGCCCAGGTAACACCAAAATCACAGCAACACTGCCCCAGGTAACACCCCCATCTCAAAACACTGCCCCAGGGAACCAACATCACAAAACAACACCCCACAGGTAACCCAACTCACAACAAAACGCCACAGGTAACACTAAAACACAGACAAACTGCCCATAACACCAACACAAACAAAACCTGCCACAGGTAACACCAACAACACAGACAACACGCCACAGGGAAAACTAACTTCACAGACAAACACTGCCAAGGGAACCCAACATTTACAAAACAAAACTGCCCAGGTAAAACCAACAACAAAAACCAGCCAAGGAACAAACCAAGACAACACTGCCACAGGGGAAAACCCCAACATCCAGACAACACTGCCCAGGTAACACCCAAAATCTCAACAACACTCCCAGGTAACACAACATCAAACAAAAATGCCCCAGGTAAACACCAACACACAGAAACACTGCCCCAAAAGGGAACACCCCAAAATCACAGACAACACGCCCCGGGAACACCAAAATCAAAGACAACACTGCCAAAAGGGAACACAAACATCACGACAACACTGCCACAAAAACACCAACAACCAGACAACATGCCCCGGGAACCCAAAACACAGCAACACTGCCACAGGTAACACCCAAAATCACAGACAAAAGCCACAGTAACCCAAAATTACGGGCAAAACTGCCCAGGCAACACCAATACACAACAACACGCCACAAAACACCAACATCACAGACAACACTGCCACAGGGAACACCAACATCGCAAAACACTGCCCCAGGCAACACCAACCAAAAGACAACACTGCCCCAGGAACACCAACATCACAGACAACACTGCCACAGGTAACACCCAAAATCTCAGACAACACTGCCAAGGGAACCCAGCACACAGACAACACTGCTACAGGTAACACCAACATCTCAGACAACACTGCCCCAGGGAAAAAACCAAAAATCACAGACAAAAACTGCCAAGGGAACACCCCATCGCAGACAAAACGCCACAGGCAACACCAAATAAGACAAAAACTGCCAAGGCAAAATAACACTCAACAACACTGCCACAGGTAACAACCAACACACAGAAAAACGCCACAGGTAACACCAACACTACCAACACGCCAAGGTAACACCAAACACAGACAACACTGCCACAGGTAACCCAACACGCAGACAACACTGCCAAGGGAACACCCCTCACAGACAAAAACTGCCCAGGTAACAACCCCAAATCACAGACAAAAACCCGCCCCCGGCAACACCAACATCCAGACACCTCCCCAGGTAACACCAACACTCAGCAACACTGCCCAGGTACACCAACATCAAGACAACATGCACGGGAAAACCACAAACTCGGACAAACTGCCACAGGTAAAACCAACAACAGAAACACTGCCACAGGTAACACCAACTCTAGACAACACTGGCCCCAGGCAACACCAACTCCCCCCCAACACTGCCACAGGCAAAACCCAAAATCACGACAACACTGCCCAGGGGAAAACCAAACACAGACAAAATGCCACAGGTAACACCAACAACACAGACAACACCCACGGCAACCCAAAATCAAGACAAAAAGTCACAGGCAATAAACACACAACAAAATGCCCCGGGAACCCAACTCAAGACAAAAACGCCAAGGTAAAAACCAAAACACAGCAACACTGCCACAGGAAAAACAACATCACAGACAACACTGCCCCCACAACACCAACATCTCAGAAACACTGCCCAGGGAACACAACATCACAGACAACACTGCCACAGGTAACACCACAAACAAAAAACCACTGCCCCAGGTAACACCCAACATCGCAGACAACACTGCCACAGGGCAACACCAACATACAGACAACACTGCCCCAGGGGAAACTAACACTCAAAACATGCCACAGGGAAAAAAAACACAGACAACACTGCCACAGGCAACACCAACATCACGACAACACTGCCCCGGCAACCCCAACATCAGACAACACTGCCACAGGTAAAACCCAAAAATACAGACAACACTGCCCAGTAACACCACATCGAGACAACCTGCCACCGGCAAAAACAAAAATCACAGACAACCTGCCACAGGTAACACCAAAATCACAACAACACTGCCCAGGCAAACCAAAATCTCAGCAACACTGCCACAGGTAAAAAACAACACCAGACAAAACCCCGCCCCAGGTAACACCAAAATCACAGAAACACTGCTACAGTAACACCAAAATCTCAGACAACACTGCCACAGGGAACACCAACTCCAGACAAAAATGCAAAAGGAACACCAAAAATTCAACAACACTGCCACAGGGAACACCCAAAACCCCAAACACTGCCACAGGCCCAAAACCCCATCCAGACAACACTGCCACAGTAACACCAAAACACAGCAACACTGCCCCAGGTAACACCAAAACACAGACAACACTCCACAGGTAAAAACCAAAAACACAGACAACACTGCCTCAGCAACACCAAAAACCGCAACACTGACAGGCAAATACCAACATCACAGACAACACTGCCCACAGGTAACACCAAAAAAACACAGACAACATTCCACAGGTAACACCCCAACACAGCAACACTGCAAAGGGAACACCAAAAATCACAGACAACACTGCCACAGGGGAAAACCAACAACCAGAACACTGCCACGGGTAAAAACTAAAACACAAAACACTGCCCCAAGTAAAAACTAAATCACAGACAAAAACTGCCACAGGGAACACCAACACACAGACAAAACCGCCCCAGGGAACCCAACATCAAGACAACCTGCCACGGTAACACCAACATCACAGACAAAACCCGCCACAGGAACACCATATCTCAGACAACATGCCACAGGTAAAAACCACTCACAGACAACACTGCTAAGGGAAAACCAACATCTCAGACAACATGCCACAGGCAACACCAAACACAGAAACACTGCCAGAGGGAACACCAACATCGCGACAACACTGCCAAAGGGAAAACCCAAAATCACAGACAACCTGCCACAGCAACACTAACATCCGACAACACGCCCCAGGTAACACCAACTCACAGACAACACTGCCCCAGGAAAAACCAACATCTCAGAAACCTGCCACAGGAACACCAAACATCACAGACAACCTGCCCAGGTAACACCCATCGCGACAACACTCCAACAACACCCAACATCACAGACAAAACTGCCACAGGGAACCCAAAACCAGACAACCTGCCACAGGCAAACCAACACTCAACAACACTGACAGGTAAACCAACATTCAGACAACACTGCCACAGGTAACACCAACATCCAACAACACTGCAAGGGAACACCAACATCTCGGACAACACGCCCAGGGACACCAACAAAACAGCAACACCCCCCCAGGTAACACCAACCCTTTAGACAACACTCCAAGGGGAACACCAACTCCCCGACAAAAAACCCGCCACAGGCAAACACCCCA